CTAGCCAAGCCTAACTCACATCGATACCGTTGCAGATAAACACACATGACGATCATAGAAGCTAAAGGTACAATGATGAACTGCGAAAGAAGAGCTGCTAATTTTTTTTTCAAAAACTGTTCGGACATCAGGTTCCTATACCACAGGTTAGCAGTAATGTGTTATTTTACATGCTTTCTCAAAAAGGTTAACAAAATTAATTCAACTATCACATCATCCGACTTTTCAAAGTCTGTATGTTATGTCTTGTCTTTCAAATCCCTTCACCTCCTCTGCATGATAACGTTTTACCACAAACCTACCGCCTTTTTCAGGACTCTTCAGAACCCGTTTCTCTCTCTTCTCATCATTAGCCCTTCTTCCCATAAAACTCTCTTTCTCCCTCACAGCAAGTCATGAACCTTTATTTTTTTTATCTCTTTTATCTTCTGTTCACTTCTCTTTCACTCAACTTCCTTACCAAATCCTCCTATAATGGCAATCGAACGATCGCTTCCTTCTCCTACCATTAACACCACTTCCACTTCCCTATCATCCTTAAAGTCATCTCCAAAAATTCACTCTTCCACTCTTTCCAATGCTATTGTACCCACACCTGTTTCCTCCTCATTTCCTATTGTTTTTCCTTTTCTGTCAAACTATATCTCCCTTCCATGTGTTGAAAACCCCATGTCTCCTCATTCTTCTGATCTCAACAAAGAACACTCAGGAGGTGTTACCTCTCATGTGTCAGAGGTCTCTGAGGATGATCCTGATCAGTATCTGAACTCCTCCACTTTGGACTCAGTGGCTCTCACAGAGTCACCAGAAAAGGAAGCAGCGCACAATATCATAGCTATCGCTGCTGAGAGTCTGTTGAATGAAAGAGCATATCTCTTGTCTGAGTATCGGTGGAAGAAACCCCATTCCTAGGCGATGAAAGAACCATGGTACTCTTCGAGTCTTTAACCCATGAAACTGTCCTAGAAAAACCTGTTGGAGGACCTGATTCTCTTCCAGATAAATCCACTTCGGAACCTCTTGATTATCCTAAGCCCTTAGAATCCTCTTCCAAGTCACCCACTATCAGGTTGCAGCAGAAAGAGGGCTTCGAGTCTACCTTGCAGAAAAGTAAGAGGAGTGTCAAGACAAGGAAGAAGAGGTTGATGAAACAAGGGGAATTTGTGACTGACAGAAGTATTCTAGTGGGTGAGGTTGACAAAGATGCTCTAAAGGAACTCAGTTCCTTAGTAGAACGATCTATAAAAATCCAGAAGTCTGTGGATGGATCTTCCGATGAAGCTATTGAAAAACAAAGTGGAACATCCATGATGGGTAGCAGTAAGTCTAAGAAGAGTATAGTTGAGCAAACTATGTCTGAAGGAGATACTGTGGGGCTTGTAAGTTGGAAAGGGAAGTCTGTTGAAGGATCTAGAAAACAAAAATGGGAAACTGTAGGGGAACCTGGTTCTCTAAATACCATACCTAGTGATAGTGGTCTTTGGTAGGAGAGATTGAGAACTCAAAAAGTCTTATGGGGTCGTATGTTTGATCCGGCAATTTCAAACATGGCAGGTATGAGGCAAATTTTGGATATAGTGGAATTTTAGCAATGGGAGCACTTGTTTCAGGAGAACATGCCTACGATTTATGAAGATGCAATACAAAATTTCTACGCATCTCTCTTCACTATTGAGGGAGATCACATCTGTATGCTAGTAAATGGAGTAGACATTGTACTTGACACTTCAGCATTGGGGAAGGTTCTCCAAATTCCATGTGAAGGAATGTCCTCAGTCAAAGGTGTCTGTGGTTCCAACTTCAGGAGAGCTATCATGAAAGAGCAAGCTATTCAGCAGGGGAAACAGGTGCATAAGAAGGTACTACTTCCTAAGTATTAGCTTTTCTTTGAGCTGGTTAATAAGGTGCTTTTACCTTGTTCTGAGAGGCGGTTTATTGCTACAAAGTCTGATATGGTCTTAATGGAGTCTCTTGATGAGTTTGTTCCGATCAATCTGCCAGCAATCATGATAAATCATATGCAAAAGGTGACAAACTTTAAAGGTGGGAATCATGGGCTTCCATATGGCTTTCTCCTCACTGAAGTGTTCAAGTTTTATAGGGTTCCTTTGGGTAATCCCAAAGTGGGAACACGTAAGCAAACCTTCTCTAAAACCACTCTGGAAGAATGTGAGTGCGTAGAAAAGGTTGGTGGAAGCATCTCGACCATTTCTCAGTTGATCAATGCTCAAATGCTGCTTCTGAAGATATTAGAAGGTTGAGGGCTCAGAATGCCATACTAGAAACTCAGCTCAGTCAAGCAGTTAAAGAACCCGGTTCCGTTAATAAAGAAGTTGCCCGCCTGACAAAGGAAAATGATAAGCTTCGCACAAAATTACTTGATGAGCAACTGTATGCAAATGCCCGACTGGACCTATTTCTCAAGACCCTTGCTGCTTCTCTCTCCTACTCTCCCTCTTCTAGTGCCTCTTAGATACCTCCTAGTGACCAGTTGTCTTCTGTTATGATGTTTTATGGTTGCTGTTTCTATTTTTGTTTGTCTTTTTGCTGATGACATGCTGTATTTCACCATTATTGCTCTTGTTTTGCTCAGTCCATTGTTCATATCAATGAAACAACTCCTCTTTTTACTTGTACAATGTTGTTTTCCTTTGGCTTCTCTTTTCTGTCATGTTGTGTGCACATATGTGGCATGAGTTGGCTGTGTTAGACTTCTTGTTTGCCTGCTTGTGTATTTTTAATAATGCCAAAAGGGGGAAGATATTTGTGAAACAGGGGATCAAAAGCAAAAGGTCAGGGGGAACTTTTGAAAAATTGCTTCAAAATAGGGGATCTGATTAAAGTGGAATCAAATGAAAAATTAATTCAAAACAGGGGATCTGATTAAGGGGGAATCAAAATCAAAAGGTCAGGAGGAACTTGTGAAGTTCCTGGTACCTCATCTGGTTATTTCTGCTCTAAACAAATACTATCAATGCCTAAGTTTGTCATCATCAAAAAGGGAAAATTTATGGGTTTTCAATGTGTTGACATACAAGTTGTCTAGCACATGTATACACATGTACTACATCATAGCTAGCACATGTATATGAGTTGTATAGTAGGTGTAATACAAGTTGTGTAGCACATGTATACACATGTACTATATCATAGCTAGCACATGTATATGAGTTGTATAGTAAGTGTAATTAAGTGTATGACAACTAATAGATTAGGTGAATTAGTATTATAAATAGGCCTTGTAATCTTCTCTCCTAGATATGAAATATAGAACTTCTTTGGTTTCTAACATGGTATCAGAGCATTGAAGTTTTTTCATCAGTTTGTTGTTGGGAATTTTTTTCCCGTTCGAATTATTTTTGTTCAGTACAGTCTTTCGCTGCTTTGATTCTATTTCACTATTTCCGGCCATTTTTTGCCCCGGCCGCCTCTTTACAGATTTTTCTACTCACTATTCCGACCAAAGTGGTACTGTCAGAATTTTTTTTTCCTGACAACTTTCATTTTCCAAGATCACTGTTCCGGGACTGTTCACTGTACTGTTCACTGCACTGTTCACTGTTCAAATATTACTATTCACTGTTCACTGTACTGTTCAAATATCACTGTTCACTGTTCACTGCACTGTTCAAATTTCACTGCACTATTCTTGACTATTTGATTCTGCTATTATTCGGGTGCAAGATGACTGAAACAAAACCTACCGTTGATGTCATTCCGGTTATGTCCAAAATTACGGAGAATAAGTTCATGGGTTCCAATTACATGGATTGGAGTAAGACGATCCGTCTCTATTTGTGGAGCATCGACAAAGAGAACCACTTGGTTGATGATCCACCCAAGGATGAGACTAAATCAGTCTGGTTAAAGGAGGATGCAAAATTGTTTCTCCAAATCAAGAATTCGATGCACAGTGAGGTAAATGATCTAGTTTCTCATTATGATTATGTGAAGGATCTAATGGATTATTTAGATTTTTTGTACTCTAGCAAAGGAAACTTGTCTTGCATGTATGATGTGTGCCAGGCATTTTACCATCCATCCATGCAAGATCACTCTCTCACTACTTACTTCTCAGAGTTTAAGAAGGTGTATGATGAGCTTAATGTTATATTGCCGTTTAGTCCAGATGTGAAGGTACAACAGGCTCAGCGTGAACAACTGGCGGTCATGAGTTTCCTTTCTGGTCTTTCTCCCGAATTTGAAGGGGCCAAATCGCAGATTTTATCTGGGACTGCTATCTCTTCCTTGAAAGAGGCCTTTACAAGAGTGTTGCATACTGAAAAGTCTCATCCAGGTCCGACAGCCACGATCGATAGTGGTGCTCTGCTTAGCCGCGTCCAAAAGAATAGGAGTCATAGTAATCGCAATCGGAGTAGCGATAGTCGAGACCTAAAGCAAGGGGAAGTTGAATGTTTTTATTGTCATGAGCTCGGTCATACCATACGTTATTGTGTGAAGCTTCAGAATAAGAACAAAAGATCTCAGTATGCCAACATCGCCACTTCCGAGACTATTTCACCATCTCAGTCATCATCTCCTCCTATCAATACTATCCCCGAGTCAGGTAAAACCANACGTCCAAAGAATAGGAGTCATAGTAAGCGCAATCGGAGTAGTGATAGTCGAGACCTAAAGCAAGGGGAAGTTGAATGTTTTTATTGTCATGNTTGAAACAGAGTCCCCATTCTTGGTTTGGCAGATTTAGTGAGGCTGTTCTAGAATATGGGATGAAGAAAAACAATTGCGATCATACAGTGTTTTATAAAAAGTTTGATGATGGTATTCTTTTATTGGTAGTATATGTTGATGACATCGTTATTACTGGAAGTGATATTACAGGAATTTTAAATTAAAGTCTTTCCTTCACACTCAATTTCAGACAAAAGATTTAGGGCAACTAAAGTATTTTTTGGGAGTTGAAGTTACACGGAGCAAGAAAGGCATCTTCTTGTCCCAAAGAAAATATACTCTTGACTTGTTAGCTGAAACTGGAAAGTTGGGATCTAAACCATGCAACATGCCAATGGTTCCTAACACACAACTCGTGAAAGAAGACGGTGAGTTATTCGAAGATCCAGAGAAATATAGGAGATTGGTTGGGAAACTGAACTATCTTACAGTAACTCGTCCCGATATCGCATACTCTGTCAGCATTGTGAGTCAGTTTATGTCTTCCCCAACAGTCAGGCATTGGGCGGCTCTGGAGCAGATTCTTTGTTATCTAAAGGGATCTCCAGGACGGGGTCTAGTATATAAGAATAATGAACACACTAACATTGAGTGTTTCACAGATGCAGATTGGGCAGGGTCAAAAGCCGATAGGAGATCCACGACAGGATATTGCGTTTTTGTTGGTGGAAACTTGATTTCGTGGAAGAGTAAGAAACAAAATGTCGTATCTCGATCTAGTGCGGAAGCAGAATACAGAGCTATGGCACAATCTGTGTGTGAGGTTGTATGGGTACATCAACTATTAAGTGAAGTTGGCTTCCAAACTACATTGCCAGCAAAGTTGTGGTGTGATAATCAAGCTGCTCTTCATATCTCCTCTAATCCTGTATTTCACGAAAGGACTAAGCACATTGAAATAGATTGTCACTTTGTTCGTGAAAAGATTCAACAAAAGCTCATCTCTACAGGTCATGTTAGAACTGGAGATCAATTGGGAGACATTTTCACAAAAGCTTTGAATGGAGCTCGAGTTGAATATATCTGTAACAAGTTGGGCATGATCAATATATATGCTCCAACTTGAGGGGGAGTGTTGACATACAAGTTGTCTAGCACATGTATACACATGTACTACATCATAGCTAGCACATGTATATGAGTTGTATAGTAGGTGTAATACAAGTTGTGTAGCACATGTATACACATGTACTATATCATAACTAGCACATGTATATGAGTTGTATAGTAGGTGTAATTAGGTGTATGACAACTAATAGATTAGGTGAATTAGTATTATAAATAGGCCTTGTAATCTTCTCTTATAGATATGAAATATAGAACTTCTTTGGTTTCTAACACAATGTCTTTGCCTTATACTTCTTATGTTTTGATGATCTAACAAACTTATTGTTAAGAACCAGATAGGGAACCTGACTCACTTGATACACATTTCAAGTGAACAAAGTTCAGTCTGAACTCCAGCTAATGAACTGCTACAGAGAGGAACACGATAGGGACCTGATCCCTTAACACAACAGGGACCTGATCCCTTGGTGTTCTCTAATAGAAGTACAAGTCAACTATACAGCTGGAACGCAACTGTAGAAAGTGACTGCTTGCAACTATACATGCGATAGTGCAATAGACAGTGCAACAGTCACTTCCCATTGGGAAGAAGCATGTACCAAGAATTGACATTCTTTGTGATGTCTTTGGTAGTATAACAACATGGTGCAAGGCACAAGATACTCACTTGAGCATTTAGAGATATTCTCTCAAGCATTAAAGTGTTGATCCAATATTGAAGTCACAAGTGTGTCAAGAACAAGAAGACAACTCCACTAAAGGATCAGTTTCACAATGAGTCTATATGTATCCGTAGTTGAGTTGTATTCTTGTTATTTGTTCTTCATCCTAACTCCTATATTTCTTACTTAGAAGCTTGTTGATACCTAATTTTTTCCCTATATAATTTTCATGTGCAGAATACTTTCAAAATAGCATACGTATGCATATATAAGCAACGCTACCCCAATGATACGTACAGTATCACCAGATCAAAGCCGACCAGGTCAAGCAAAGCCAGCGGGGATACGAACTAACCTTTCCCCCTTTACAAACTCATGATTTTTCTTTGGATGCAGGCATTTGAGTTGCAAAATCATCAAATATACTATACGCTCACTCACAAAGTTCAGGAATACAACTCTCCGAACTATTACTCTTGCTTGCAACTACTATCCGCACACAATAGTGTCCCTAGCAGGCACAATATCCCCAGCAATCACGATACCACAATCCGCTATCAGCTAAGAAAGTTCTATTGCCATTTGCTATTTTTACTTCTTATATAATGCTACATTCTGCCTTCCGAGGTTAAGCTCAACCTCCATTTGCATTCTCTGCATTGCATAAGGCTACCATTCTGCCTTCCGAGGTTAAGCTCAACCTCCATTTGCATTCTCTGCATTGCATAAGGCTACCATTCTGCCTTCCGAGGTTAAGCTCTACCTCCATCTTCATTCTCTACATTTCATAAAGCTACCATTCTGCCTTTCGAGGTTAAGCTCTACCTCCATCTGCATTCTCTGCATTGTAGAAAGCTACCATTCTGCCTTCCGAGGTTAAGCTCTACCTCTATCTTGCATGGCTGAAAGATTGCCACTTTATTTACATCTTGCATCGGTTGAAAGATTGCCACTGCATATATACCTTGCATCGGCTGAAAGATCGCCACTTTATTTATATCTTGCATGGCTGAAATATCGCCACCTTATTTACATCTTGCATTGGCTGAAAGATTTCCACTTCATTTACATCTTGCATAGCTGAAATATTGCCACTTTATTTACACCTTGCGTGGCTGAAATATCGCCACTTTATTTACATCTTGCATGGCTGAAATATCGTCACCTTTACACTTGCATGGCTAAAATATCGCCGCTTTATTTTACATTTTCATGGGCTGAAAGATTGCCACCTACTGCATTCCATGGGCTGAAAGATTGCCAAAATTGTCCAAAGGCGTCATTGTTCGGAGGCACCATTTTCATAGCCCGAGAATGCCATGCTATGGCCTTGAGGACCCCTTTTATCTTTTGCATATCATTATTCAAAGGCATCATAGTTCGGAGACATCATTCTCATAGCCCTAGAGCACCATTTCATGGCCTGCGAATCCTTATTATACGCTTCATGGCCCAGGACATCATGGTCTGAGGAAGTCATCCTAACCGTCCAAAGATAACATTTCATGGTCCGACGGGAACTTGCATCATGTTTAAATTTCCGCACAATACATTGTTTGTTTGTAGGTAAACCGGTGAGCAGCGACCGTCTCAGCAGGAGCAATCCCGCTCCAGTTCCCGCATCCCTATTAGACTTTAACCATCCATCTTAACCCAAATATCACGTCCGTCTTGGAAAATCACCATCGGCATGTTCCTCCAACAGATTCTGGACTACATATGGCCTGATTTTTGTAAGACCAGGGATATGTAGGCAGCTCAAGAGGCAGAGCTCGGTCAAATTCTTCAAACCATTCCGTTCGGTCAAAATTGGCCATCATATCTTTACCCGACAACTCTTTCATCCTTCCCAGATAAAGAGGGGCAGCTGTTGATACCTAATTTTTTATCTATATATTTTTCATATGCAAAATACTTTCAATATAACATACCTATGCATATATAAGCATGTCCAATTGTTTTATTATTTTTCCAATTTTTAAAAGATTTTTAAATCAATTTATCGCCTTATTTTATCAGAAAAACCAATAATTATTTCCCAAATTATCATTTTTGATAACTCCTTTATTGAATTCTCATATTTATACCAAAATATAGCTAAGGTAATTTTTGCACATTTTTTAGAGATTTATTTAGCATTTTAAAGTTAAATTGCATATAATTGCAATATTAGCATATTTTAAGATTTAATTGTGTTTGTAATTACAAATTTGATTTCAGTATTTTAAATTTAATATTTACATATTATTAATCGATTTAGTACCTTTAGTTTATTTCCAAAAATTATTTTACTATTTTTATAAAATAAATAAGGGAAAATGACTATTTAAATGTTAGCCCTGTTTATTTCAATTTTAGCCTTATTTGAGCCCCAAATGAACCCAATTCCCAATCTCAATTCCCCAACCCAATTTTAATTTAAACCTGCCCCTGACCCGATTAAATCCTACCCGACCCAGACCCCTCTCACCCTGGCCGTTGATCTCTGAGATCAACGGCCCCTATTCACTCTTACCTTTTTAACCCAAATGACCACCCTAACCTTCTCATTTCACACCTACCATCCCCCTCTGAACTCTCAAACCCTCTCAAACTCTCTCGAACATTCCCAAACCCTAACCGCCTCTTACCACCACCTCCACCTTGAAACCCACCGGAATCCATGGCTTTTCAGGCTATGGGAGTCTTATACTCACCTTCTCTTGCTCCCACGCGCCTAATACCTAAAGATTCGAGGCTTGACCTCAAAGGTTTGCACCCAGACCTTTGTCGATTCAAGGTTCCACGGCCATCTCCGGCTTTACTCCGGCGTACCATGGTGGTTTGAACCTGATTCCGACCTCTCCAACTCAGATCGGTGACCTTTCAAAGCCTATCTCACTTCTAGGGTTCTTTTGGAACCCTAACCCTTCGAGGTTTTCTCCGATTTCCTTAGATCCGTTGTGTATCTGTACTGTCCTTGACTTTTCAAATGATTTCCCTAACTTTTCTTTCAAAAATTACTTTCAAAACCGCTTCGTTTCCGATCTAGGGTTTTATGAAAATGTTTAAGTGTTTCTCTGACTTTCTCTTCTTTGTCTTTTGTGTTTATTTACCTCTACTGTGTTCTTATGTTTTTTTCTACCTTGTATGTTGTTCTACTGAGTTTTTACACTCCGTTCTTGTATGTTCTTTTATTGAGTTTTTACACTCCGTTCTTGTATGTTCTTTTACTGAGTTTTTACACTCCGTTCTTGTATGTTCTTTTACTGAGTTTTTACACTCCGTTCTTGTATGTTCTTTTACTGAGTTTTTACACTCCGTTCTTGTATGTTCTTTTACTGAGTTTTTACACTCCGTTCTTGTATGTTCTTTTACTGAGTTTTTACACTCCGTTCTTGTATGTTCTTTTACTGAGTTTTTACACTCCGTTCTTGTATCTTCTTTTACTGAGTTTTATATACTCCATGCTTGTATGTTCTTCTACCATGTTTTCCATACTATGCTCTTATATGCTTTTCTACTGTGTTCTTACATTTTTTGTCTTCTACTATGTTCCAGCATGTTTCTCCTACTGTATTTTCCTGCTAAGTTCTTAAGTTTCCTTGTTTTCCTTCTATTAAGCCCTGTTTAAGCTTCTTCTGAAAAATCTCTTAAGCATGTTTCTTTTACTGTTCTTATCAGTGTTTTTCTTTTGAGTGCTTCTACTGTGTTCCGCATGTTACTTTGCTATCATGTTTTTCTCATGAGTTTCTATTGATGAAAGAAGCATGCAAGAGGTTTCAACTCTGAAACCTCTTAGCCTATTTCAACTACTTGCCTTCTCATCTCTGTACTTGATTCAATGTGGAAACCCTAGAATTTGGGGGTTCCGCCAAGCTGATTATGTGATTTGATTAAACTTAGGGTTTATTTCAAAACCTCTAACTCTTTCAGACCCATTCCTTGCTTTCATATGACTCTGACCTTTTGCTAAACTTTTCTATACTGGATTTTCTACTGACTTTACATTGACACTACAATCTTCCTTCATGCTTAACATGTTCGTATGCTCCTTATATATGATAGACTTCCCTTTAAAGTAGCTTTTGAATTTGTGATTAGTTCCTACTTCCCTCTGAATATGGGTCTAATTGATTCCCTTTCCATTGTTTGCTGATTTCTCTTAAGTTAAAAACCTTTCCCATCTTCTAACTCGGTTCATTCATGCAAAATCTCAGACTCTTTTGATTTGCTGTTTGTTAATTGATTTGCTTACCTTATTTTCACAAACCGTGTATTTCAAAAACCCTGTCCTTAAATAACTTTTATGTACTCACCCTTAATTGCCTACTTTTCCCAAAGTGTTTGATTAATTTCTTTCCTTAATTGGTTTATACCCGTTTGAATATGAATGCTTTAACTAAAGGGAGTCTTGTGTAATTGATTGACAATCAGCTCTTCAATTATTTCTTACCTTATTTTTACTTGGTTTTTACACTATAAAGGGCACGACTCTTTTCACAAACACGACAGACGACACAATTCACAATCTCTCTGAACTCTTACTCACATAATAGAACTCTCTCTTCTTGTCTGCACT